ACACACACACACATACCTACTCCTGGCATATGTCATACATACTATAAATTTAATTTGTGTAAATCAATATAATGCAGAAAGGAGGGAGGAAAAGACAGACAGAGAGCATTAAAATTGCCTGCATCAGATCAACAAAAACATGAATATGTTTCTTTTAGACACAGAACTGGGCAGGTCTATTAATCTAACTGTTCAGGTCTTGATACAAGTTATTTGGAGAGGGATAAGGAAAAAGATGTCTCAGGACATCCCAACAGACACCAGACTAGTCTATGATATCTCTTTTCGGTCATTTTAGTGCAAAATTTTGTTAGATAATTTGTGAATGTCCTTGAATAATCACGATACCAACCCACAGTCTCAGTCTAAAGTTCTGTGTTCTGGGTCCATTGTCCCTGTCCCCATAACTCAGAAAATAACCGATGCCTTCTGTTTTTCCACAAAATCAGAAAATCCCATTCAACATTTATACCACCAAAATCCACCTTCGCAGAGTTCTATCTGAATATAAAAAATTAAGCTAGTGCATATTGGCTTTTTGATATCCATCTGTTTGAACTGAGGCATAAATGACCTAATAAAAGGCTTGCTAAGTGGTTTTCTTGTTCCTGTGCTTTCAGGATTACCCACTAAATAATAATAACTCGGCTCAGATCTTTACCTTAGTATTGCCAGTGTCGTTTCCTGAAATTTTTTCTTGCCTTTTTAAAGAAAAATAAGAAAAACATTTGAAACAACTTTGAAGTTTAAATCCTGTCCTCTGTGGAAACCTGTCCTCTGTGGTTAAATACTGACATTCTTAGTGAAATTTCAAAATGTCTTTTTTCTTTCCCCTCTAAAGGGTAAATTCATTCGAATCCACTTTGGGGCCACGGGCAAACTGGCTTCTGCTGACATTGAAACATGTAAGAGACCTCCTGACCTGAACACATTCTTTCCTCCCTTTCCACCTCAGTGTACTTTCTCAGGCTTAACTCTTTCTACCCGCCTTGCCAGATCTGCTGGAGAAGTCCAGAGTCACTTTCCAGCTCAAGGCAGAAAGAAGTTACCACATATTTTATCAGATCATGTCCAACAAGAAGCCAGAGCTAATTGGTAGGAAGTATTATAAATTCTTTGATGGAATCTGAACATGTTTAACATTTATCTTTATTCTTATGCCCAGATACGTCCTATTCTTCTTTACAGACATGCTCCTCATTACCACCAACCCATATGACTACCAATTTGTGAGTCAAGGTGAGATCACTGTTCCCAGCATTAATGACCAGGAGGAGCTGATGGCTACAGATGTAAGTGACACAGAGCATATTGGTATGGTGAAAGTTCCATTTAATGGCCCAGAGGCTTATTTCACTGATTCTGTTGCCAGAGTGCCATTGACATCCTGGGCTTCACTGCTGATGAGAAAACAGCCATTTACAAGCTGACGGGGGCTGTCATGCACTACGGGAATCTGAAGTTCAAGCAGAAGCAGCGTGAAGAGCAGGCAGAGCCAGACGGCACAGAAGGTATTATAATCTAGAACTCCCAGTAACAGAAACACTTACATAGCTAGAACTTGGCATTCAGATATCTTGCTCCAATTTATTTTCATAAAGTCATAAATCTCAGCTTTTGTAATAGTCATGCTTCTGAATTTCCTTTCAAACTATCACAGGATTGCAATACTGAAACCTACAGCTACATCTTAGAAGACATCTACTTTCAATTATTGCTTCTCCTCTGTGACTGTCTTCCTCTCTCTTTGTCTATAGTTGCTGACAAGGCTGCCTATCTGATGGGTCTGAACTCAGCAGACCTGCTCAAGGCACTGTGCTACCCCCGAGTCAAGGTTGGGAATGAATATGTGACCAAGGGTCAAACCGTGCAGCAGGTAACAACCAGCTGGTGACTGGGAACCTCTGACTTGTATCATTTACTATTTGCTCCAGACATTGTTTTTCTTCTGCTCCATTCTTCTGTGTTCTAGGTGAACAATTCAGTGGGTGCCCTGGCAAAAGCTGTCTATGAGAAGATGTTCTTGTGGATGGTGGTTCGCATCAACCAGCAGCTGGATACGAAGCAGCCCAGACAGTACTTCATTGGTGTGCTGGACATTGCTGGCTTCGAGATCTTTGATGCAAGTACCACAGAAATCATAGTAAAATCTCTAAAAGTCTATTAGGCCTCAATCAAAACCAGAATTATGCTGGCTTTTTTAAAAATATTCCGTTCACTTGCAATTTCAAATCAAGTTCTCCTTTTTAAAAAACCAACCAACCAACCAACCAACCAACCAACCCCAAGCCCTGTGGGTTGTTTTTTGGTTGTTTGTTTTGGTTTTGTTTTGTTTTGTTTTTCCTGGAAATGCTTACTTTCCTTGTATATGTCACTTGTTTTTTCTCCAGCACAAATCATGAGCTTCAAAATATCTGCGTCATACACAAGGAAGAACAGCTGCCTTTATATAATTAGTGCTAACGTTGAAGCTTTTCAATAATTTGAGCTTAATATTAAAAAGATCCACTGAGAAACAGCACACACATACTGAAGAGACAGTATCTTGGACTGTAGAAAGAGAAAGGTAGACATAAGTCCCCCACAAAATTGTGCCAAGTCTTTGGAAAAAGAGACCAATCTATGTCCTTTGCTTATGAAGAGTCAAAGGGTGATTCTAACAGGAATACACATTGGCTGCCTTTAGTGCTGACAGAATTCTACACACGCTTGGGGAAGGTGAGTCCAAGCCAGGACTGACAAACACTGATAATGTCTAGTTTTTCTGTAGGGGCAATGGAAAAATTTACAGAATATAATGAGATAAAAGTGATATAAATTGCACCTTGATATGGATAAGACTGCCAAATAATTTTGGTATTTCATACAAGAATGAATTATATATTTAAACATTATTCAGGTAGCAAAGAGGAAAAAAAACCCAACCTCTTTAAAAATACATAATAGGATGTTTTAACATTAAAAAGTTTTGTTCTAACTAAGCATCTCTGAATGAAATTCTGAGTGTACAGGAGAAAACTGTACAGGCAATTCTTCATTTTGAGAATGAGTAAATATTGTCTTTGCATTAAACAGTTCAACAGCCTGGAGCAGCTGTGCATCAACTTCACCAATGAGAAACTGCAACAGTTCTTCAACCACCACATGTTCGTGCTGGAGCAGGAGGAGTACAAGAAGGAGGGAATTGAATGGACATTCATTGACTTTGGGATGGACCTGGCTGCCTGCATTGAGCTCATTGAGAAGGTATGTTGATTACATTTATATTTTTATTATTTCCTCTCTGTGACAGAATTTTAGAATTTCCTGGCTACTGGTATGCAAAGAATAAATTTTCATTTCCAATATTGTATGTATTCAGAAAATAATTTCTAAGGACCTTTGCAATTAGGCTGCACATGAAATACCTTCAGGTTATGCACTAATTACATTATTATGCAATTTATTTTAAAATAACTAATTATATTTTTTTGGCAATAGAAGAATCACACACTGTAGGTGTTTTCAAGTCTACAAAGATGAAAGATCTCTTTTCAGAAAACCAGACAACTTTTCAGTATTACAATTATGATTTCAATATTAATACCGTGATTGCTGAAACACAATTTCTAACCAAAATCATACCTGTATATGAAAAAGAGGTACTAGCTGAACAGGGATGAAAAAAACCTCAGTATGAGTTGATACATCTTGTTGTGTAGGAATGAAGAAACATATGTCACAAAAAGTAAGATTTCAGGAAGTAGATGAAAGATCTGTTGCTCTGTTGAACAAAGGTCAATTTTAGTAAGACACTTTCATATACACAAATTTACTTTGGGAAAATATAAATACAAAAAAAAAAAAGAAATCTCTTTTCGATTCATTAGATTTTCCAAATTATTTAGAAAAAATTGTGGGATTATTGTCAAACTATTAGTTCTGAAATACTTTCATTTCAGACACAAATTAATATTTTATCAAGTACTCTATGTGCAAAACGTAACAAAGATTTGATCCATTTTTGATCCAAAAATTTAATTAATTTTGCAGTTTCCTTTGCCTTAATGCAGTCTCCTTCTGAAGGCAAATCTGTATATTCTTGCTGTTATTTTTTGCTGTTTCTCCCAGCCCATGGGTATCTTCTCCATCCTGGAAGAGGAGTGCATGTTCCCCAAGGCAACTGACACCTCTTTCAAGAACAAGCTCTACGACCAACATCTGGGCAAGTCCAACAACTTCCAGAAGCCCAAGCCTGGCAAAGGCAAGGCTGAGGCCCACTTCTCCCTGGTGCACTATGCTGGCACAGTGGACTACAACATCTCTGGCTGGCTTGAGAAGAACAAGGACCCCCTGAATGAAACTGTCATTGGGTTGTATCAAAAGTCATCGGTAAAGACACTGGCATTACTCTTTGCCTCTGCTGGTGGAGAGGCAGGTCAGTTTTCTGAAATGTCAACCCTTTGGAGCACAGTGATTCTGCAAAACTGTGGAATCATGAATGAGACCCAAAACCATAAATGTTTAATTATCTTCATTTTATCAGAGGCTAGTGGTGGTGGTGGTGGCAAGAAAGGTGGCAAGAAGAAGGGTTCTTCTTTCCAGACTGTCTCAGCTCTTTTCAGGGTAAGTAAACACTTCCTCTTTTCATCTATGCAAATTAGAATTAAACTGCACTTTCAACAGGATCAGCCACAGTAAATGAGCAAACAACTTTGTTCTTATCCTTATTTAAAAAAAAAAAAAAAAAAAAAAAAAAAAAAA